CATTACAGCTACTCTTTTATTATTAATGGTAATGAGGCAGTATATATATAGCATAGTGTCTAAAAGACTGGGCTCCAAGGACAGGCTGCCTAAAATCAAATCTTCAAAGCCATTCACTGGCTGTATGAACTTGGGCAAGTCATTTAACCTTGCTGAGCTTCAGTTTCTCCACCAGAGATAAGGACAATAATAACACCTATCTCTAGAGTTGTGATAAGAATAAATGATATAACTTACCATATCATATAACATTAAAACAACTTAAAGTGTTTTGAACACAAAGGCCATTTTATGCAAAAAAATTTAAGTAAATAAAAACATATTTTGATGCACATTTTGATAAGGCATGGTAGCACAATCATGTGACCAATGAAGTAAATGTTAAACTTTTCTGTTTTCTGGAAAAAAGGTTTAAAAATATCTGAGCATGTGATAAAGTGGTATAGAACTAATATGCACATACACACATATATAAGTTAAACTGGGGAAATCTGAGTAAGACTGGTAGACTGTCAATGTCAATATCTTGGCTGTAATATTATACTACAGTTTTGCAAAATGTTGTCGCTGAGGAAAATTAGGTAGAATGTACATGCCCAATTTGCATTATTTCATATAACTGCATTGAGTCTATAAATATCTCAATAAAAATTTAATTTAAAAAATGTGATCCCAGAATTAATTTACCAAAAGTCATTAAGCTGTATGTTTACAATTGATTACTTTTATGAAACAACTGCCATAGCCTTTAGAAATTACATTTAAAGAAAAAGCGCCAACATTACTACCATCTTCACCATCGCCAAGACTTTTTATATTATTTTTCTCTTATGAGGGAGAATACAATACACATTTTCTAATTAAATGACATTATTTTTGTTAGTTCTACATCCTTCATTAAATCTTTTTTTCAGTTTTTATTGAGATGTAATTGACATAACATGGTATAAGTCTGAGGTGTACAATGTAGTGATTTGATATATGTATATATTGGGAAATGATTACTGCAATAAAGTTAGTAAATACATCCATCACTTCACAGTTACAATTTGTGTGTGTGTGTGTGTGTGTGTGTGCGTGATGAGAACTTTCAATATCTACGCTCTTAGCAAGTTTCAAATATGCAATATAGAACTATTAACTCTCGTCACCATGCTATACATGACATCCTAGAACTCATATATCTTACAACTGGAAGTTTATACCCTTTGATCTCATTTACACCACCACCCACTTTCCTCCTGTTCATTAAATCTTGATTGAGTAGAACACTGCTAGGATCTATTAGGGAATAAAAAGACATAGAAATCTGATTTAATATTCTATCAACAGATATAAATATAATTTGAAAGAAACTCTTATAGTATTTTCAGTGAAGCAACCAGTTTATGTCCTAAACTGTTGTTCCAAAACACTTCATCCCAATTTATTCACCTCTTAATTTAATTCTCAGATTATTTGGAGCTTGATTTCAAGTCAGTTTGAGTAACATCCCTTAGTAAGTATAAAATATTGAGTTCTTAAGACAGCAGGTAGGTATACATTATTACTAAATTTATTTTTACACAAAATATTGAAAATCCACCTACTATCTATTTCTACCTCTTGAAGCCTGGCACATTTAACTGCATTTCATGGCAAGTGGAGAATGCATAAATCAAAGCTGATAGAATTTACTATTTTCGAATGGACAACCAAAATCCATTTTATTGAGAAAAGATTATACATCTATCTTAAGTCAGTGATTTTCTGCACTGTACAATGCAGGATTAGAATAATGCTGAACATAAGTAGATACAATGAATTCTTTCTGACTTGCAGTTACAATGATTCAAGCGCTCACTTTACCCTCTCCCCTTCTGGAACTCTTCTACAATATACCAAATCAACAGATGTACTAGATAACCTCCTTAAATAATGTCACAGTATTCACTGAGCTTTGGCAGTGAGTCAGAATAGAAATTAGAGATCTAGACCAACTAAATACTGTATATTTGGCAAAATCATTTGTGGTTGTGTTCTTCAGCACAGTTTCCGAGATAACCACCAGTTCCACTTGGCAACCTGAGTCTCCCACAGTTATGTCTTTAATTGTAAAGTTGGCTTGTGAGATAATTTCCTGCTACTGGATTTCATGCCATTACTACTCTGAAGATTGGTGGCATAAGAGTTGAGAAAAATGTTATTTTGACAAACCAACACTGACAACTGGTCCAGAGTTTTAACCTGTTCTCATGATAGGAAACAATGATAGTAAAACAGTCTGTATGATTCTTTATAAAACAAAGATTCCCTCTAGTAGTATGAGATGGCTAGGTAAGACTATTAAATTCTATTAAGCAACAGCAGCAACAAGTGAACTTGTAATAGAAGCAATTAGAGCATAAAAAAGCAGATCTAATATTTCTAAGTACTACACATGCTAAAATGTCAAACATCTAGCTTTTGGAGACATTTTATTTCAAGGTAATTTCATAAGAACTTATAAGAATTCACCAATTTGGATTTGGGGCAGGTCAGAAAATAAGAGTTTCTGCCTAGGTGTGTCTGTGAATCATAAGACAGGCTTTTTAATGAGGTCAGCAAGTAAGGAAATACATTTCAATAGTGACATTTGGCTTACAACATTGTGTATGGGTGGGGCCTTGAAGGAATTGATAGAGATATTCTAACTTCAGCAAGTGAAACCAAAACATTAACTGCAGTTTTTATTACCTAATACAAGTCCATTGCCCAAACAGGACTTTGGAAGTCTGTCATAACAACTTCTAGGCAGGTGTATTTCACTTGTTCTGGAGCTGATGCTGACCTGCCAGTGCCTAGTCCATGTGCCACTGCATCAAAATTGCATCAATCCCTCTGTTTCCTGGCATGGCCCAGCACAATGCCAGATCTAATTTGAGCATTAAGAAAAAAAGAAAAAAAGCTTAGTAAATGTGTGAATTTAAAGAAAGCAAGGGAGTTCTCTCATTGCAAGTTAATTTCTCATTAACCATTAGTTCAATAAGAAAATAAGTGAAACAATACTGCAGTTTAAGAAAAACACTTGTCTTTGTCCACTTTGACTCCCCTAAAATTCAATTACCCAAGACAGTCCTATCTATAAAAATTTTTGGAGCACCCAGGTGGTATTGACTCTCACAAATATCATAAATAAAAAACTGAGTTTATGTCTTTTATTATAAACTATCCCATACTGATTCAAATGATTCTTCTTTTCTAATAAAGAAGAAAGTAGCACTCTTATTCAGATTGGTGAATAATACTCCCATCCCCTCCTTATAATCACTGAAGCCCTCATACAGCACTATAATTAGCAGCTATTTTTAGCATGCAAATAGGATGCATTAAATAACAAAATAGTCTAAATTTGATAGGAAAGAATAAGCCTTCATGGTCACAACCGGAATTATTAACCAGTGCACATATTCTTAGATATCAATGTGAGTGGAAAATAAATCTACTCTTAAACAGCTCGAAGATAGTACATACCATAACATTTAAAAAGTCCATAAAAAGTAGTTAGATACTAGTCTATTAGCAAAAAAAAAAAAAAAAAGTTTATTTTTCTAATTCTGAATTGCTGGAATAGTTAACCATTGTTCTCTCAGCAAATAGTAAGCATTTATGCTAAATTCCTAAGTGTTCTTTCTTTAATATTTTATGACAAATAACTAACCAAATGAGCTGTTTCTGTTCTGCAGAGATGAGTAATACTTCTCCCTTGTAATCATGTGAAATAACCACTAGTATCAATGATTAAAGTAAACTGCTTTCCCAGAGATCAACATAGAGTTACAAAGTGAACTACTGGGGACAAATGGTTTCAGAAATCTGATTTATGGAGTAGTGTTCGTTATTTTCTTTCTGTCCATCTTTTAATCATCTACATACCTTCTAAATTTAAGCTTGACTTTGCAACCCTTCACTTACTTTGCTTAATAACATTAAAAGATGAGTATTTATTGCACTGAAATTTATATTCTACTTCAAACCTGTTATGAAACACACATGTAAACATGTAAAAGAATATAAGTCCCCTCCAGTATTTCAACTTTCCATTAAAATGCAAATATAATGATTTCATTAGTCAGGCAACAATACCCACAGTCTTAAACCAGACAAAACCAATAACTTTTTTTCTGTACATCCCAACTTCTCCCTAAGATACAATCTTACTCTTATGTTGGATCATTTGTTAATGAATATTTTTGCCTTTGGACTTGCATTATCCTTGATTGGAAGGGGGAAGCTAAAATATGTGATTTGAGATTTTAAATTCATAGATGTACCCTACTCCCTAGACAGGCAAATATAAAAATATTTCACTAAAGTTAAGCAAATAGTTGGAAAATAACCCTTCTTTCAGTTCCTAAACACTGGATGAAGTGTGTGTGTGGGGGGGGGGGGGGAGTCACTCAATGCAATTAAAAGTATGTCATGAAGGCAATAGTCAGCAAATAACATTGTATTTTATATTCAACCTTCCGTGGAGTCTACCCAGGCCATACTTAATTTTGTCATAGGTAGAAAACTCTCCATGGAAACTCTGCTAGCTTAATAATACTATACAAGCAGCCCCAGTAAAAAGATTCAAGATTCAAGTGTGTGTATGGAGAGAGAGACAGAGAGACAGAGAGAGCATCATAGGCATGTGTATATAAGAAAAAAACAATATATATAAGGTTTGGAACTATATAGGAGTGTGTGTGTGTGTGTGTGTGTGTGTGTGTGTGTAAGAGGAGGAGGAGATGGAGGAGGTGGAGGAAGAAAAGAGACACAGAGAAAGGCAGAGAGATAAAAGACCCAAGAAAAGAGAACAGCCAAGAGAGAAAGAAATTTGGACGGGACTGTTAGAAAAATGCTCTTTACTTCTCTGCTTCTTTGCTGGGATTGGGTTTCATTTCTTTCGGCGCCCCTGACCTTGCAGTCTTCCAACTCTCCACGCTCCCCCTCCCCGCCCCCTCCCCCGGCCTGCGCCTGCCTTTGTGTCTGCCTGTCACTTACCGGGGAGCCCAACGAAGCGGATTCGGGAGAAGCACAAAGCCAGGATACAGATTTGCCCACAAATTCTCTTACACACATTCCCCAGGCTGCAAGGCACAGCCCATCGCAGAGCTGATGTACCTTGAGAGAGTGGGTTCTGGTCTTGTTTGGGGGACCAGAGAAACTATTCTTTCCTCTCTCACTCGGCAGCACTAACAAAACGTGCGGACTCAAGGAAAAAACAAAACCTCACTTAGTGTACTCCAGTTCCACTCCCGGTGACATTCGCTCGGTACGCCCCCCAAAAAGGGGACAGGGGGACAGAAGGGGCGGACGCTAATCCAGAGGCAGAGCCAGATCCAGACCGACAGCACATAAAAGGGTCGAAAACCCCCCGTCACTGTTCTTTCCGGGGTGGGTTAGGATAGACCAGAGACTCGTCTGACTTAGAAGGGGAGTGGGAGGATTAGAGGGAAATGTAGTGCCCCCCAAAGCTGAACTATTTTAGAAAGGAAAGCAAAGAAAAATCACTTTCCTGGCGATAAAAGGCCGGGAAACCGGCTGGTCGGAGTCACAAAGGTAAGTTTTCCGGGTCCGGAGGAAGAGAGAAGAGAACCCAGAACTATAGGTTTAAAGGGGGGAGGAGGGGGAATTAAAACTATATTTGTCAGCCATGTTGAAGAGGCTCCAGTAATTTGTGAAGCTTCCCTCTTCCCTCTTGATATTTGTGGGTGACACTGCAGGGTTTGCTCCCCCGTCCCTGGAAGCCCGAGAGAAAGCGAAGGGGAGAGGAAAGGGAGAGTTTCGCGGCAAAAGAGAAGCACTCTGACCTCGTTCTCGTCTCGCAGCCTTGCAGCAATCCAGCAGTTGCAGTCAGGTCTCCTTTCTAACAAATCCTAAAGGGCAGCCATCTTGCTTCCTTCTGCTTCTCTACGAAAGCAGCCTAGCCTCCGCATCAATATTCATAAGGCAGTTTGACGTCTGTTCTCATCACTCGGCGGGGCCGGCTTCTCGGG